TTAAAAGATTGCGATCTGGACGTTATCGGCACTGTGAGATGCTGGATATTTGTCGGATCGGCAGAGGCTTTGTCTGCGGTCCTGGATAAATTGTGCTCCAACTCGGGCGGGATCTCATCTGGCAGGGGAATGGGCATGCCTCGGGCAGCCGCCATAATCTGATGCTCAGCCCACGACTCCGAGAAGTCATTAAGGCCTTTCCAGAAGGGAGCCAGTCGACGTTCGATCTAACCCGCGGTCAGCCTTGGCTAAATTGCATCTAGGGGGATTCCAAGCAAACCTACCATCAGTTGGCGCACCACTACCTTATTGTAGTCTTCTGTCCCCACATATACGCCCTGCGTTACGAGGTAGCCTCCATCGACATGCTCCTCCTTCATACTGCGCTCCCTCTCTTTAAGACGAGCCACCCGTTCCTTCTCCAAGCGGCGGACCTCACGCTCTTGTTTTGTCTCCCGCCGATTCTCCAGTGTGGCCACTTCACGATCATGACTGCTGCCGATTCCAAGAATCGAAAGGTCGGGCCTACTGCCTCTTGCTGCACGAGAACCTTGATATGGCCGGCTTGAGCCATCGGAAGCGCCCGGGGATAATTGACTTCGACGACCTGACGGGGCTGTGGAGCGTGACTCCTTAGTCTGGGAGTTTCCCATGTTAGAGCCCAGATGGATGTAATAAGGTGGAAGGATGGCGAGATTGTCGGGTTCAGCCACGACAGTTCCGACAGTCACGGTGATAACTCCGGGATATGGCGGAAAGGGCCCCCAAGGGGGGGTTGTATTGGGGGTGGGCAGTAGAAATGGATGTAAAGAAGATGGAGAGGTTTAAAAAAGTTGAAAAGAGGCTAATAGAGAGAGTGGAGGTAAGAGGAGTAACTTTCAGAGCGGGGGGGGGTTTGTGATCTGTCCGGAGTAACTGGGGAAATGAGATCGGTGAAGACTTTCTAGGACAACAACCTCCATGAGGCCCAAATGATATCAAGAATATTTACAAATTCGAGATTGAAATATTCTGATATTCCAATAGAAAAGATAGAAAGATAGAAATACCGGATGTGGCGGATGTTATTTTTGTTATTTTTTAAATTTTTTTCTTGGGGCAAGTATACCTGCCTAACTAGACTAGTTATGGGAATTACTACAAAACCACATAACATGTATTGATACATATCTATAGCATATGATAGGTAGGATAAACAGGTTAAATAGCATAAATATCAAGCTTTTTACTAATTCTCAACCCAAGATCATCAGTTGATCCATCGTCATTGTCAAGTCATGGGCAGATACACTCCATTTCTACTATTGATAGTGCGATGTAGACATAATAGGCTCTAAGATGCAGCAAAATGACTTTTAGTATAGATCTCAAAGTATTAGTTACAATTAACTGTGGTAGTCAACTAGTTAAGTTAACTAACTACTCCGTAGTTACGTGCATAGTTAGTTAATTAGTTACTGGAGGCAACAAGGCCAATTAAGGCCAACATTTAAGGCCAACATTTAAGGCCAACGTTTGATCAACCTCGGAACAACCTCAGCCAATAGTAATCTACATACAAAAGGCGGTGGCATAAATCAGTCTACATTTTTTTTTTGCCAAAGAAAAAAGATAGAAGAGCGGTGTTGAAGCTTTGGAATCTTCCTCGAAATTATTTTGAACCTTGACATCCTGCATAGGCCATGCAGTAGTGATAGCTCTACTCATTCTCACTCCTACCGAGAATCCTCTGGCAATGACTGAAACGATCAGACTGCATATCACGCCTTTCACCCAGGATATCCTTCCGTCTGTGCTGCCAGCATCTATTCGCAACTTGGCCACAGACATATCTTTCCACGAGATTTCTACATTCCCAGAGAACAACTACGGATACGTGACTCTGCCAAACATGGAAGCGGAGAAGATCAAGAAGAAGTTGAACGGCTCGATCCTCAAGGGCAAGAAGTTCAAAGTCGAGGCGGCCCGCCCTCAAAAGAGACACCGGGAAGAAGAAGATGTGGTGCCTGAAGCCCCCTCTAGTGCCAAGAAGAAGTCCAAGAAGTCCAAGAAACAAGCGCCCGATGACGGTGTAATGGAAGGCTTTGAGCTTCCCGCCGACCGCAAAGTGAAACGGGGTTGGACGGAGTCCAGTGATGCTAAGCAAGAACGACGAAAGTCGGAGAAGAAGGACAAGAAGGACAAGGAGGAGAAACTGCAACCCAAGTCCAAGTACACCGACAAATCCGAATGCCTGTTCCGAGCAACAATCCCACCCAACCGAGCATCCGACGCAGCTTCCGATGATAAGAAAGCAAAGAAGAAGAAGAAGTCGAAGGATAATGTCATCCACGAATTTGAGAGAACGGTGACCCAGCCAAGCTTCCTGCGCACCGCGGAGGAAAGCGCAGCGCCTACGGCTACATTTGAAGATGGAAAAGGCTGGGTGGATTCCACCGGGAATCTGAAAGAACCCGCCAGTGAGAAGATCTCGAAGGATAATTATCGGCCTGGTCAGATCCCAGGGGCCAAGGAGAAGCGCCGAGCTGCCAAATTGGCCGCCAAAGACACGAAGAAGCGTTCACGCAAAGAAAAGACTCCAGAGGAATCTTCCGAGTCTGAAGATTATACCTCATCAAGTGGCTCATCTTCAGACGAGGGCGGTGACTCAGAGAGTGAGGTCGATGAGAACAAGGCAGATGAAAACCCCGAAGATTCATCTGCATCCTCCGACGATGAGGAGGAGGTCAAGCCGCAACCCCAAGAAGAGACCACCAAGTCTACAGAGGCTAACGACGGTGATGCTGATACACCGAGCCAGTCAGACTCGGATAAGATACCCACGGAGGCTGCGCAAGAAGTGAAAAAAGATTCACCTACCAAGGAAGTCCATCCCCTTGAAGCTCTTTTCAAGCGACCCGCCCCGACAACATCCGATAACAAGCAGGCACCCGAGGCCGAGGCTGGATTCAGCTTCTTTGGTAATGACATTGAATCCGAGGACGAGTCTCAAATGGCTGAGCCGCAGACACCTTTCACACCCTTCACGAAGAACGACCTACAAAACCGAGGTCAGCGCAGTGCAGCTCCCACCCCCGATACTACTGCAGCCAACCGGCACATGACGTGGAACGAGAGTGAGGACTCGGATGATGAGGACATCTCGATCGACAGCCCTGTCAAAAAAGCTCGTGCGGAAGCCGGTGCAAGCATGGAGGAAACTGAATTCGCAAAGTGGTTCTGGGAGAATCGTGGTGAGAACAATCGCGCCTGGAAGAAGAGGCGACGCGATGCTGCTAAGGAACAGAGACAGAGAGACAACCGGAAGAAGGGAATCAAGGCAAAGTCATAGATTCAAAATATGTACCTAGATCTGATGTGGTACTTATACATAAACTATGCTGCTAGTAGCCTTCAAATGACACAAATACTATGTAATTTAAGCCAACGACGTTTCCAACGTTGGTCAAATCTAAATATAAAAAAACCTCATGGTCTTTGTTGGATTGCGTACACAGTCATGTGACCCGCATTCATCATCATTGAGCTCGTCCAAACTAGGACTCGTCGCATCGTCCACTGTATGCCCAGGATGTTTTCGACCTGGACCTCACAGCGCAGCATACAGCTGTTGCTGCTGCTTTTCACATTTTTGTCTCTCACGTCATTGGTAGCAGCGTCCAGTAAGTGCTAGCCTCTCTTCTCCGATGCCTCGAAGCGCCAAGTGGAAGATCGAAATGCTACCATCTTCGCGTCGATATCTGTGTGATACTAATACTCAATGCTTACAGCACCAACCTCCTTCTGCAAATGCACCTGTTTCTCCAATAGTACGATCATCCCCCTCAATCCTGCCAAGTCCGAAAGCTCCTCCGGCATCGACCACGTCCGCTTTTACGAGCGCGACTCTCTCAGCTCCGAGCTTGAGCATACCGATGAATACAGCAAACGAGCCGAGAAATACCGATCTCTGAATTGTAATGATTGCAATCGGAAGTTCTGTCTCGACTACGAGCTACCAACATGCAAAGGCGCTAAGGAGGAAGATGTGTATACGACTTGCTTCCGTAAGTGATTTGTCGGACTAGTGAAGCAGCCAAGAGAAATCGAATTGGATACTATAACAGATTTGCTGACGGATCTGCGGTACTAGAGCGAGATTCACGGAAAGACGAGGCGGTGGTGTTTATTTTTATTTTTGCTACCGGTGGACTGCTGGCTTGGGCAGCCTGCAAGCCATGGATTGAGCGATATGTCGAGGTAGGTCAATGCATAGCGAGATCTGTGAGAAACCCGACTAACTGATTTAGGCTGCACGAGAACGCAGGTCGTATATACCCGTTGCTGAACCCGATCGCTAAATATGAAATGATTTGATATGATTTTGAATGTATAATTTTGTAGGCTGAAATATCTAGCAAAGAGCCTATAATTCCAAGACATGAGACTAAATTCATTAACATATACAACATACGGAGTAGGGATGATGCCATGGGAATTTGAGCTCGATATGATATCAGTAGGAGGAATGTACTATAAGTTCAGGGGTAAACACATCAACACTTATCTTAGTATACCTCACTAGTAACTCTTCGCATAATCTACTCCGTACTAGTAAGTTGTGGTAGATAGATCTATTTATTTAGCTATTTAGCGCTTCTAGATTGCTACAGATCCAATCCCCACTACGGACTATCTGAAACAGGATAGATTGGAGGTTATGGCCAGCCAATAGATCCGATCAGCCAGAGAGAATGTGATTTAATAGGCATTGGGGGATCCTTATATATGTGCACACATTGGATCGGCTAACAATTGCCAATCGAGTGGATTCAGAGAGAAAACTTGTTTAATTAAATTAAATCCTTTTCTTGCTTTTTTTTTCTCTAATCTTCCTATTCTTCTCTCCTTAAATTACTCTCTCTTCTTTATGAGGCCCGATCCCCTTCATATCCATATTGGAACTGGTGGCGTTGATTTTTTTGTAATATCCAGAGATAGTATATACTGGAATTCGAAATATGGCTATCTTCGACTCAGAAAAGCGCCCTCGTGGCCTTCGCGTGCCCTCTCTCGCAGCATTCAAGTCTTTCCAGAAGAAATCGTCGGAACCTGTGCCCACCGAGCCTGTGCCCTCCGGGGAGTCAACTTCGCCTAAAGCGACAGCCTTCCCTACCCCTCCACCACCGAAGCCGGCGCCCCCGCCGGGCAAGGACCTCCCAGTGTCCCCGAAAGAGGAAATTCCCGCACCGCAGACCTTAACCAACAACCCATACTTCCCTCCGATCCCCTCCCAAAATGCAGTCCCAGACCGACGCCCAATTGAACGGGTCCCCAATCCAATGCAGTCTCCTCCCCCTCGGATGACAGGCCTGCGAAACAAGAAATCACAGCCCGATTTCCACGCACCCCAACAACAGACAACAAACTATTTCGCGCCCCAAGCTCCGGCTGACGAGGCCAACTCCCCCCGCTGGAAGACTTCATCCCAACCCCGGACAGCGCCGAACCGCCACTAACAGTGTCTGAACTGCCACGCGATGAGCTGGCCCCTTCGCCCTTCGTACCACCGGATGTTGAACCCGTGGCGCCGAAATTGAACGAAATCCACCTCACATGCTACCAGCAACACCGCGCTATGCCCATAGCGCAGAATGCGTGGTGTCCGCTGCCGTGCATGACTTGTCAGAAATTTGACATTGAGATCCGGCACCGTTGTGTGTTCTGTTGCCTGCGCATCTGCGAGTCGTGCTACCAGACTCTGCAGAAATGCAAGAATCGATCCGTCGAAGAGCTGGTCGATCGACTGGTTGTCTGATTTGTTGATATCTCAAGGTGGTGTTATGGTCGTGGTGTGTTGACATGAATGACCTCAGCATATATTGCACGATCTCTTGCGCAGGAAGTACAGTTCCTGTAAGGTTGTCAGTTATGTTTTCTATTTTTCTTCTTATCTGTATACCTTTTTTTATGATACCAAGAGCTCGTGTATATATTATGGTTTAATCAGGAGGACCGAAGCTGCATGTTAATATGAATAGATATTCTTTTTTTTTGGGGGGGGGTGTCCTTGACATAAGTGTAGCATTTCGTAGAGATCTCTGAGAGTTTGGAGAAGCTATGTGCTAGGTCAGCTTATTGCTGCGTCAAGAATACTCCCATATGGTACAAACGTCTCTGAGAGATCAATCGTGATCCTCCTCGGTCAGACCAGGACACCCTTCCAGCTCAAGATCCGTTTCATAGGCATATTTGCACCAGAAACAATACCGATATGTCTCGCGCAGAAAGAGAACCAGCTTGCGTAACCGCTCAGCTGGCTCTAACGCATTGAAGGCATCGAGCTCCTCGTCGTCTTCTTCCAGCTCTATCTCCAGTGTGGAGGTATTCTGATCCAGTTCACTGCCAAGGGCCTTTTTATCCTCCCGATCCATAGTAGGGTCATCGTATTCTGGTAGCCGTGCTTTGGGGAAAAATGAAGAAGGGAGTGAGGATTGGAGAGCATGGCGTGTCTGACGGTCACTGTCGTTCCTTTCCCGCTCACGGATGAGACCTCGGTATAGGACGTTGATTTGCGACGTGAGCTTGATTGGCTTCTTCTTTGTCGCGGCTGCGTTGGGTCCGTCGCGTGCTTGACTAGGATCTGCGGAGTCACCACCTTCTTTGTTGGACTTGGTTGAGGACCCTATTTCTTGTTCTTGATCTTCGTCGGTGATAGCCCCACTCTCCAATTCCGCATCCAGCCTCTCTGCAACTTTCTGCGCAGCGCGCACCTGCGCTTCGATGCGTCTCAACTCGCGCTTTTCACGAACGCGGTCTCGGTAACTTCCTTCCTCGTGTTTGATTTTCTTTACTGCTTCTTCTGCCTCCTCACGGAGCTTGCGCTTTTTTTCAGTGTCCAACCCGATTCCGCCGCGGTTTTCTTTCATGGTTAGGTTCAGCGGTTCAGCGCGCGCCTTTAGGAAAGAATCGGTAGTGACACTGCCAGAATCGCTCGCTGCAGGAGGCTTGCCAAGCACCCCACCAGGCTTAAAGCCAAGCTTTGCCATCATTTGGAATCCTTTGTTGGTGGGGTTGAGGGTGCTTGTGGCCAAGGCTTCCTCTCGGCGGGCGGCTTCCCGAGCAGCGCGTTCGGCTTTCGATGGGACTCGGCCTCGAGCTTCGGCCTGCATATGGAAAAGAATGTTAGAATAGGTTTCGAATCTAGCCGGAGACAGAGCGTTGGGCTAGAATGTGAAGGATACGGCACCTCTCGTAGTTCGCGGCGCTTTTTTTGTGCGAAGGTCTCCTTTTGAGTGGGCTCCTCAATGACCATATTCATGTAGTCGTTTTCATCTTCCGAGGCCATTGTTTCGGTTGCCAAGAGTCAAGGTATGGCCTAGACGCTAAAGAAAGGGAGAGAGGAAGAGGAAGAGATCCGCAGGCGGACAAAAGAAAACGCTTTGGGTTTTGCGGGGAACTACGGTGGGGCTCTGATTAATTAATTTGGAGGCTCTGATTATATACAAAGTACGCTATTACACTATTAATGTACACTATATAACATATATTATGGGATTATAGTACTTAAGAAGAAGTATATCAGGTTTGGTAGCATTTTCTTCGGTCTTTTATCGGGGGAAAATGTGGAAATTCGGATTAAAATCAGCTAGTTATATGTTATAGACCAAAACAAAGACGCTATTTATGCCAAGGATCACTGTCTTTCTTTGTTTATATTTAGACTCGATGGTTTCAGATGTTTCCCAGCGTCTCACTTCTGTTTCTTACCTTAAAAACTATATGGATATACAGTTGCTTTTGTAACGAAATACCTCCCAAGAGCATTTAAATCATGATTTTCGTTCCTATTACTTACTTCTGAGGCCAAATAGCCTACTCACCGCTAAAATTACATACCTATTATGTCTATTATGGATGGTGTTCTTCCCCGTAAAGATCCCTTACTGTACTTGTGACACATCCCCGTAAGCGTCTGTTTGCATATCTCAATGAAGCAACAGTGGCGCAAGGGCTTTGTCTTTGTATCACTGTATAGTAGCTGAGTTCGGTGCATTGTCACCGTGACTTCGATAGACAATGCTCGGCGTTTTCTCTTCTCTCCGCGGGACCCTTTATAAGCCATGGCATCGACCGGTTGACAATCAGACTGTCAGTCACGTCACCATGGCGATTTTCTTGTATATCTGCTCTTTGCTATCTCTAGCATCTGCTTCTACGGTGGTAGACCTCGGCTATGCTAGCTATGAAGGTCGCACACTATCCACCGGAGTCACACAGTGGCTTGGCATGCGATTTGCTGCTCCTCCTGTAGGTGATCTGCGATTTGCTGCCCCGCAGGATCCTTTGACTGTGAAGGGAATACAGCAAGCAACCGAGGTATGTATCTCTTGTGTTCGGTTATCCATAGGTGGCTACTGACCATTCACTGCTAGCATGGAAGTATATGCATCCCCACAGCAGCAAGCGAAGGCCAGACAGTCCCATCAGGAACATCAGAAGACTGTCTGTTCCTCGATATATATGCTCCCACAGCCGCAGCAAAAGGTTCAAGCAAACTGCCTGTCTATTTCTTTATCCAAGGAGGAGGATTTGCACTTAATTCAAATGCCAACTATAACGGCACTGGGTTGATCAAGGCATCCGGAAACAATATGGTCGTGGTCACTTTCAACTATCGGGTTGGACCGTACGGATTTCTTGCCGGAGATGAGGTTGAAAAAGGAGCCAGTTTGAACAATGGTCTGAAAGACCAACGCAAGGCCTTGAAGTGGGTCCAGGAGCATATCAGCAAAGTAGGTCAAGCCGTCATTCCTCGTTTTTTTCGTGGCTTTGTTGTTTGATACCTGGTTTTGACACTATCCCAGTTTGGCGGAGACCCTAAACATGTTGTCATTGGCGGTGATAGTGCAGGTGCTGCCTCGGTGACTCTCATGCTCTCGGCGTATGGTGGCAGAGACGAAGGCCTGTTCGTTGCCGCAGCTGCAGAGTCACAGAGCTTTGCCCAGATGCTCAATGTCACCGAAAGTCAATTTGCATACGACGCGCTGGTAACTGCAACTGCATGTGACAGTAGTCAAAATACCCTGGCATGTCTGCGCAACCTCGATGTCAATGCTTTGCAGCAGAAGAACATCAACAGACCATACCCAGGAGCAAAGGGGAAGCCGTTATACCTGTATAGTCCCACAATCGACGAGGATCTGGTGCCAGACTACACGTACCGCCTCTTCCATGAAGGCAAATTCATCAAGGTACCTGTGATATTTGGCGATGACACCAACGAAGGCACGAAATTCGTTCCCAAGAGCACCTCCAGTGTCGATGAAGCAGATACGTTCATCCAGAACCAATTTCCAGCAATAACGCAGGCCCAACTTGCCAAGCTCAACAGTATATATCTTACTCCAAACCAGAAGGAGACATTCCCTGGCGCTGGGGCCTACTGGAGGCCGGCAAGCACGGCGTACGGCGAAATACGTTACATCTGTCCCGGAATTGACTTGTCTTCTATTTACGCAGCGGCAGGTGTCCCAAGCTGGAACTACCACTACGCAGTCCAGGACCCCGCCGACGAGAGCTCGGGAGTGGGCACACAGCACACCATCGAAGTGAATGCGATCTGGGGTCCGACCAATACCAACCACAAAGCTCCAGCTTCGTACTACACTACCAACGCACCAATCGTGCCTGTGATGCAGGGTTACTGGACAAGCTTCATTACGTCTCTAGATCCGAACACCAAACGTCTTCCTTCCAGTCCGAAATGGCAGACCTGGGGCCAAGGTGGTGATGCATATCAGCGGATCTTCATTCGAACCAACGAGACGAAGATGGAGACGGTGTCACAGGCACAGAGAAACCGATGTGAATATTTGACTAGCATTGGTCTTGATTTGAAGCAGTAGCAGTATATATACCCCTGGGAGTAAATGAATTTGTGATTTACTGAGGTCAGGCTTTTTAACTAATCGGATTCCTACTAAATGACTATGAACTACTTAGGTACCTCTACATAGTGTTTTTTCTATGCCGGGTGCGTATGTAGTTCAATCTACGGGATCTTTACAGCAGGAGATCGATAGTGCAGGAGATCGATAGTGCATCTAAGCACTCGTGAATCAGTGTCGGTCGCCGCTAAAGTAGACGAAGAACAATTCGAAAGGGCTCTTGTGCCTAGTCCCCACGACCTATTCCAGGCAATTGAAATGCTTGCATGCGACAGCGGTCACCTGGGAATTAAAGTCCATTCCAAGGTTAACACCAGAATGCCCTCACCAAACCAAGATTCTGATGGTTCCAAGGTTCCGCCTAGAGATGGAACCAAGAAGTGCTTGTTTGTTTCGTTTATTCTTTTCTTTCTATTCTCTAACCTTGGAAGTCTCAATCAGGGAGCACAACATGGCCTACCGAGACAATATCGTCGTCAGAGGAACCTAACACAGTCTTCCCTGTTGACTTTCCGGTTTGTAACCGCCTGAGATCATCACCAGCCTCCGAGAAATTCAAGAGAGTGACA